GCTTCGACGCACCACCAACTCGACACTCCACATTGGCTTAACGAGACAGTGAAACGTAACTCGCTTCATGCCTTTATTTGTAAAGGGAGACAACAAGAAACAGAACTGAAGACAGTAACGCTGAAGTCATTGTGAGCTCCCTTCTTCTACTTAAATGGTCCCTGTTCGACTCCTTTAGGTGTATTCGGAATATAGTGCTAGATTTTTATTTTTATAGAGCGATAACAACTTGATGAGTGATGTGGTCGGCATCACGCCGACCGCCTTTATTCCCCAGGACTTACCTTGTACTCATTTGAGGCTGGGTCGACCTGGCATTGGTTTCAAACATGGTATGGAGAATCGACCATTCAGGGGGAATGGCAAACTACTGAGCTTAAAATTTATAAGTAAAATCACAAAACAAATATAGCATAATAATTCTTTTCCGAAACTTTAGTGACATGCATATATTGCATTAAATGTTCTTCATTTTATAAATTGTAGTTTTTGCCTGTCCTATTGTGTTCCCAATCTCTATGTTACATCTTGCATTGTGTGCAACTGGTGTTTTACACAAATTATTTTATCATATGCTACATCCATAAGACGAGACTTGGTGACATATTCTGTTGCTTCTTTCCAGTTCACTCTGTTAAGTTTGATCAGGTTTTCCTTTACAACCAGTCATTTTCACCAGCCAAAAAATTTTGGGGCTGGTTTTATAAGGCTCGTGGAAAGCTCTACGAATACTGACTGTATACGATGGTGACCATAGCAAGGGCTACAGTCTTGGCTGACTGGCTAAACTACAAATTAAACTTCACTACAAGAGTGAAGTGACAGTAATATCCTACTACAAAGGGATTTTCATCCTTAGAACAGGAAGACTGGGATAGTGAACAAGGACACACAACAAACTTTCTTTGTTTTAATAACAGTTTATCATGACCTTTACAGGAACAAAAAATACATTTTATATTTTATGTTTGTGAATTTGGTTGTGAGGGTTATTTATTTCAGTCACATGATCTACCCACATTGGACAGCGGACAAGCCTGTAAGGCATTCACACATGATCTACCCACATTAGACAGTGGACAAGCCTGTAAGGCATTCACACATGATATACCCACATTAGACAGTGGACAAGCCTGTAAGGCATTCACACATGATCTACCCACATTAGACAGTGGACAAGCCTGTAAGGCATTCACACATGATCTACCCACATTAGACAGTGGACAAGCCTATAAGGCATTCACACATGATCTCAATTGCTACCAACCTACTGCTTCTCTGCCTACTGTATCCCCCATCTCATTTTTCTAGATGGCAGGCCAACAAGGCAGATCTCAGACACCCGGTTCAACCCCCAGAAAAATAATCCCGATCAGTTCGAAGAAGCATCTTATCTCATACGAAACACATCCATTCCCACTCCATGCTACCAGTGCCAGACATGGTCACTCACAACAAAAGAAAGAAAGAAAGAAAATTAGTATCCATGGAATTGAGATGTCTGAGAAGGGCTGTAGGAGTGACCAGAAGAGATCAAATCAGGAATGAGGTAATAAAAGAAAAAATCGTCACGGAACCAATTCTAAATTACATACAAAGACAACAAATCAGATGGTTTGCCAGTTAGAGAGAATGCCTAGCTATACCATACCAAATGAAGCATACACTGAAAGAAGAGAATGGCATAGTGCACAAAGAAGACCAAAAACAAACTAGAAAGATAACATCAGAGAAACTCTACAACAGCACAATGTGTCTCTGGTTGAGGTGATAAGAAAAGCAAAAAGCAGAACCTTTTATCTGCCTTGACACCCAAAGTGGTGAAATTGAAGAAGAAAAGGATGAGCTAGGTTTCTCACTCTCCGAGACTGGTGTCGTTATGAGTGTCTCATTTATAACTCCTATTGATTTTGCATGTAGTATTTGGGATCTGCCCAGTTGGTTTGCTATCTAGGAATAGATTCCAGAGGTGACAGGGGCGGTCACACCTTCAGGTAAGTAACTCAGGGGGGAAAACAAACATTCAGTGAAGCAAGGGTCATTAATCAAGCTCCGAGCCTTACAGACTTGTTCATAGTTAGTTCCCTTTTTGTAAATTATTTTAAATACATAAGATTTAATAGCCATTTCAAGACAGTCTACACTTATTCATCTCTTAGGACATGTTTGGTAGCATCCAGTGTTACAGTTCTGTGCCTTCCATAAGGGTGGCGGTAACACACTGGCCAAATGGAGTGTTCCTTTTCTTATATGATTAGGCGGTAAAATGATTTGGTATTGAATATTTAAAAACTCAAAGCATAATATATGTACATTTGTAGGTCATGGAAAGTGAGAAAACAATTTCACGTCATGAAATGTCAGGCTATCAGATGGGGTTTAAACTTAATTCAAAACAGGTCACCTATAATTTATCTTTCATATGTGCTTTCCTTCATCGGTATCATCATCAGTTCTTGTTATGCCTAGTGGCATATGAGGCTTCAGAGAGAACTTTCCATGCTTTCCTGTCCTGTGCAATCTTCAGTGCAGTTTTCCATGTCAGAAATGCAGCACTCAGGTCACTTTGCATCGTTTGTCTTCATGTTGTGTTTGGGCGCCCCTTTATTCTCTTTCCCTCTGGTATCCATGTGAGAGCTGTTTTGGCAAGTATATCAGGATTAATTCTCATAACGTGGCCAAGCCATTTCCATCTTCTCTTGGTTATCATACTGTCTAAAGTTTCTTGGTTTGTGGCTTGAAGTAGTTTGGTGTTTGAGATTGTATCTGGCCAGAAAATTTTAATAATTTATCGTAGACATGTGTGGTGGAAGGTGGACAGCTTGTGTGCATCTTTTTTGGTCATTCTCCAGCATTCCGCTCCATAAAGAAGAACTGGCAAAATGATGCTTTTGTAGAGTCAGAGTTTGGTTCCTCTGCAGTAATTCCCTTCATACTTTTCTCTAAATATTTCTTGAACATGGATCTATGTAGCTGTGGTACCAGGGCATTTCGTCACATGACCAAACCTAATAAGTTGCTCTTTGATGAACTGTATGACCAGTCTAGTCTTTTTCTATTTCTTCTTTTCTAACTGTATCTATTCCTGTCACTCCATCAGTTTTTGTAAGAAATCTCACCTCTGTTGTTATGTTTGACACCGGTAGTATTTCAGGATCCTGGCCGGTGCTTCAGAGCCTGTGCACTGTGCTGAGCTTCTTTGGACTCAGACTTGAGTTAGAAGAAGAACGGAGCACTTATGGCTTACTACCTGTGTGCCATGATGTTGAACCGTTGTTCAAAAAACCTCAACTGGTAGTAAAATGTTGGCTAAAAATGAGTCCTGGTGAGTTGTTTTTTTTGGCACACAAATAATATGTCATTCTGTATGTCAAAAATGATGTTAGTTGTTTCAGAATGATTTGTTTGTGCAAATAACATACGGTTAGCTGATTTCTCTATCCATTCTTCCTTTTGCACATCACATGATGATTTCTCTATCCATTCTTCCTTTTGTACATCACATGATGATTTCTCTATCCATTCTTCCTTTTGGACATCACAGGATGATTTCTCTATCCATTCTTCCTTTTGGACATCACATGATGATTTCTCTATCCATTCTTCCTTTTGGACATCACAGGATGATTTCTCTATCCATTCTTCCTTTTGTACATCACATGATGATTTCTCTATCCATTCTTCCTTTTGGACATCATATGATGATTTCTCTATCCATTCTTCCTTTGGACATCATATGATGATTTCTCTATCCATTCTTCCTTTTGCACATCACATGATGATTTCTCTATCCATTCTTCCTTTTGCACATCACATGATGATTTCTCTATCCATTCTTCCTTTTGGACATCATATGATGATTTCTCTATCCATTCATCTTTTTGCACATTGATTTCTCTGGCCATTCTTCCTTTTGGACAATGCCTGATGATTTCTTTATCTATTCTTCCTTTTGCACATTGCAAGATAATTTCCTTATCCATTCTGCACTTTGCACATCAATTTTCTTTTTAAAATACTTTATCCACTTATCTCTTTGTACATCATATGCTGATTTCTCTATCCATCCATCTCTTTGCAAATCATATTTTAATTTCCTTATTTATTCATTTCTTTTCACATAGCACACAGCATTATTAATGTATCTATTAATTCTCTCCTTTGCCAGCAATATATTAATTTCACTATCAATTCTTCCCTTTGCACATAGCATATTAATTTCTCCATCACTTCATCTTTTGCACATTCATTCATTCATTCAGTAGCATATCCCTCGCGGAACCTCGCTGCCATAACAACCCTCCGGAAAACCTTCCTATCCTGAGCAAGATGTCCCGCGTCTGATACACCCATCTGGAGATCATCTGCCACATCCTGCACCCATCTTCTCCTTGGCCTTCCTCTTCCTCTCTTCCCAGGCATATACCCCTCCATTATTGTTCTCTCTAGACTTCTTTTGCACATAGCATATTAATTTCTCCATCACTTCTTCCTTTGCACAGAGCATATTATTTCACTATTAATTCTTTCCTTTGCATATAGCATATCAATTTCTCCATCACTTCCTCTTTTGCACATAGCACATTAATTTCTCAATCACTTCTTTTTTTGCACATAACATATTATTTCTCGATCACTTCTTCCTTTGCACATAGCACATTAATTTCTCCAACATTTCTTCCTTTGCACATAGCATATTAATTTCTCCATCACTTCTTCTTTTGCACATAACATATTAATTTCACTATAAATTCTTCCCTTTGCACATAGCATATAAATTTCTTGACCACTTCTTCCTTTGCACAGAGCATATTAATTTCACTATTCTTTCCTTTGCACATAGTGTATTTTCAGTTCTTGCCTTTGAATGCCACATCTATTCTTCCCCCATCATAGACCGAAACACATAATGACATGAATGACATGGATCAATAAAAGAGTTTGTCTTGAACATTCATTCAAAATGATAATGATGTGAAATAACTGAAAGTTCCTTCTTCCTAAGCTCGGCTGAATTTAGGAGAAACTGGGTTTTCCAAGGTCCCGTATGTTGGGTCGTAACGACAGATGGTGCACGCCACACCCAAAGCTATAAATATCACGGTCCCACCAATGCCGGAGAAGAATGGAGCGAAATCCACTTTTCTGATATGTGCATTACTTCCCACACTGGCAATAACCAAACAACCTATGACGCTGAGAAAAGCTGAAATATAAAAGTAAGAAATGGTTACTGAAGTAATCTAATCCAAATTATAATGTTGTTGTTTATAAAAGTATGTATTCTTCTTCTTTGAGTTCACCGGCTGTAAAATCCAGTGGAAAGTTCTGGTTGTTCGCCCACTTTTGGACATAGTCTTGTTTCAGAACTTGAGTTTGACATTCACATTCATTCTGCAGATGTGGCTTATTTGTATGCAGACTGCTGGTTCCTGGCTTCTTAGGCAGGTGCACTCTGACTTCGAAGGAAACACCCCAAATTAAACAGCTTTGATGTCTTGCTTGTGAGGGAAGCAGTGTGTCTATCTTTTTAACCCCACAATGAAGCCTTGGAAGCCACACTTGGAAGTATGTATACAACATGCTGCGGCGTCGTGACTTTGGCGTTGCGAGTCCGACTCATAATTCCAACTTACCGCGATCGAAACCCACTGCTGGCTGCATGGATTTTTATCATGGCATGGGGCGTCCATGGTCGACCCAGTCTAAAATGGGTACCAGGATGGATGTCCTGGGGAAGTAAAGACGGCCGGCGAAATGCTGACTACATTACCCCACATAGTGCCGATTGGTCTGTAAAAATATAGGTGCTCTTCCTATATGTCCAAAGTGCCTAAAAACGTGAAAAGGGATCTTTACTTTCTTTGTACAATATGCTGATCCCCTTTACTTTGTAAGAAATTCCATGATGTCCCTTTTAAGCCGCTTCAGTTAAAGAACCTGGGCCCTATCTTTCTTAGCTTTCATTGCAGTAAACTCTGGCCTAAGTTCTGGCTGTTCGTCCCCTCTGAATTTTGGTCTTGTTCTAACACTCAAGTTTTGCATGCACGTTCATTTTACAGATCTGACTGCTTTTTGCCTGCAATGGGATTGGCAATAGTACTGTGAAATCTTAACAATAAAAGTTTGTAACATTGGGACTCCAACAGCAGCTGTCTCTCATCCTGATTATAGAGTCTCCCAGACTCAATCCTCCATTTCTTGATGGTGTCCTCAAAGCTGAATCATTGTTCACCATCTTCCTCACCTGCTTCCAACTATTCCCTCCAAAATGTTTGTTTTTTAAATAACTTTTTCAGTCTCAAAGAAGGCAAGATGTGTGCTCAGTCTCTCTCATAACAGTGGTAAAATCATTCAATTTTTCCTTTACTTCTTCACATGTTGTCAGAGTATATTGAGAAAATCTAGCTTCTGCAGTGGGTGCTTCCAAAGGGTTTAGCCAATTTAAAAGTAATGCACTCATGATGGTGGCTATTACTTACACTACATTAGCAACTCTCCTTGGAGAGAAAAAGTTAATAATAGTGTAATATTGTTTTACTGGCAAACTCACTGGAAAAATGAAATCAAATCAGGGGACAGTATACCAAAGAGTTCATTCTAAAGATGATCTTGACCACACATCAGACATGACCATAAGTAAGCCAATCTCCTCCTGAGTTTTGTCTCCAAGTGTTTTGAGGCTAACAACTGTCTAAACAACATAACTGGTCTGGTTGATGTAATGACGGAAAGTTTTCCTGCCTTGCAGCTCCAGTTGGTACACTCAGGGTATGCAGTCTATTCAGTGAAAAATCATTTTCCATGAAAAATCATTTTCCATGAAACTGAAAGCTTCACAGCGTTTAATCTCTTGTATAGCAGTGATCATGTCTCTCCTGTCCATAGAGGGCTTATTCCTGGTAGTTGCACTGCCAGCCAGACTGACTGCTCTTTCACTGCCATTCACACCAGCATACTCCCGGACAAAAATGGTGATTTTGCAAAACGCTGGAAGCTGTATCAGATGGAGCCACTGTTTCCATTTGTGCCCCGCCTGGATCTTCTGTAGCATGCTCCTTAAGTCCCTGGGCAAACATGAATTGGTGAATTCCTGAGTTTTCGGCCATTCTAGGGCCTTTGTCACAGCCATGACCTCCATTGTCATGTTGCTGGTGGTAGAAGCAAAGGCTCCACTGTCTTCTTTAATGACTTTTCCTTTAGTTCTTGCAGTGAAAGCCCATTCATGTCGTTTCTGACGAATCACAGAACCATCTGCATATACATCAGCATCTTTCAGTGATGTGTGTTTCTCCACTAATGCTTTCACTTGTCAGGTATGCATAAACTATTGGTGGTGCCAAATCACAGTACTATCTTGTCAGGGTGATAACCACTTTAAATTACTGCTTGTAATCATTTGGTATGGGTAATTCTTCTTCTCCACAAATAAAGTATTAACATTTAATTAAATACATCATTTTTAACAGGCAGTCTGCAGAATGTGGCCCCATCATGCTATGTGCGAAAACCATTTAATCATTTGCCGGTGTGTTGGGAAATAATCAGGCGGACAGGCTGGCTGGCTCTGCACAACTTGGTGGAATACTGATACATGTGATAAGGCAGACGTGGTTAGTGCCTTGTGGGAGAGTGTGTACAGTTTGGAGGAGCAGATGGATCACCACAGTCTGGTGAGATTGATGCAGGGGGAAGTGACGAGAGGTTCTGCCAAGTACTCGAGGCTCAGAGGAAAGGCAAGATGGATGTTTAATGAGAATGCTACTAGCACTATTAGTATCAGAACTCTTAGCTGGCTGCTGAAGATGGGTATGGAGCACCTATGGGAATGCCCTGAGTGCTGTGATGTCAGTTCTTGAATCAAATCAAATCAACCATTTGATCTCTTGCCAGCTTTTCCTCCTCATGAATCTAGATTGACCAGACCATCTTTGATATGTTGTGTCCAGTATCCTACTGGTCAAACTCTGCCTCTTCTTCTCAGTACCAGGGCTTCTTTGTTTCTGGTGGTACGCAACAATACACAGTACTGGAAGCATGTCATTAGTTATCATTAATTTCAGTGCTACTGTAACAGACTCTTTGTAGTGAGCACCAGAATCTTGTCAGCAACCATGTGGTGAGTACCGGCACCTTTGTTTCTAAGCAGAGATAGGTCCCTGCTCAGGACACTACCATCCATCCATGTTCTCCTCAAACCATTAACGTGTCAGATATGTTTGTACTATTTAAATTTAAGAGAAACCCTGATGTTTATGAGCCAGTCCACCTAAACGTTGAAATCATGAAGTATGTCAGTATGTTTATGAGCCAGTTTCTCATTTCAGTGCCTATTTAGTTATTCTTTGTCTCTGCCCCCCCCCCCCTTTTTTTTTCTCCTTATGATACACCCAATATATTGCAATCTCCTTTTTCTTTAATTTTTGAAAACAGCATCTGTCCAGACATTTCTCTGATTTCTTTGACTTTTTGATTTGAATTAATCGAATTTAATCTTCATTGAGATTTGAGGTTTTGAACACTAGATCAACATCATGGCACACGGGTAGTAACCCATAAGTGCTCAGTTCTTCTTCTAACTCAAGTCTGAGTCCGAAGTAGCTCAGCACAGTGCACAGGCTCTGTAGCACCGGTGAGGATCTTGAAATACTTTGGGTAGATTTTAACTACAAATTTCGCCTGGGCAGCGCGGTTAGACTACTCTTTTCGATTTCCAACTTCCAAGGGATTTTTAACATGCATAACACTGCACACGGGCATCCGATCTCACTACCCAGAGACCAGGGGAATTAATAGAAGTCTAAGTCCACGTGAAAAAAATCCTAGCCCTTACCGGGGATTGAACCCGGAACCTCTAGCACTTCTGGCAGATACCATGCCTCGAGACCACGCAGCCCCCCTCATGCACCTGCTGGACTAATTGGCATGCATCACCATACTGGAACTTCATTAATCTTCATTAATTTCCTTAAAGCATTTGTTTCCAAATTATTGAGTTAAAGTATTCAAAGTTTCTTACAGGGTGAGAATTAAACAAACATACAACACGCATAACATGCACAGCAGGAAAGAACACAAATAACATACATGCCACTAGTGAGGTTACGAAGAATATGCCGTAGATGGTGTTTCGGACAAAACTATTGTTGCTCCGGAAAACAGCCCAGAACGGTGCAAGGGAGACAACACTGAGTACTGCGGCAACAGCTCCTGCCGTCTCAATTCCTTGAATCACCATCCACGAGGGAAACTCCATATATTCTGGGCGAGCTGAGGATGTAGAAGAAAGAGCATAAACCTCAAGGGCAAAGAAGATATGTAAAATAAAGTCAAGGACTTGTTTAAACATATCAGACACACTGCTAGAACCAGAGCTGGTGGTCTTCCATTGTTTGCAGCACTTTTATGTGTGTATTGTTGCACACATAAAAAAATCATTTAGCAGTTGGAAATCAAAAAGAGTAACCTAACGGCGCTGCTCAGGCAAAATTTGGAATTAAAAATCTACCCAAAGTATTTCAGGATCCTCGCCGGTGCTACAGAGCATGTGCACTGTGCTGAGCTTCTTCGGATTTAAGTTAGAATGAAGCACTTATGGGTTACTGTTCTGTTGTTCAAAACCTTCGAACTTCAGACACTTTTAATGTTTAAAATATATTGAGAATTTATTTCTTGGTGACACTGGTTCGGGTACTAATAATTAACTCATTAAACCAGTGATTCCCAAACTGTGCGCAGCAGTGCCCCGGGGAGCCGCGACCTCTTCACAGGTGCACCGCAAAATATTGTAAATGCTTCACAATTAATTTAACCAAGACACAATTAGTCATACTTTTACTTAGGTTATTTCTTGGTGACACTGGTTCGGGTACTAATAATTAACTCATTAAACCAGTTATTCCCAAACTGTGCGCAGCAGTGCCCCGGGGAGCCGCGACCTCTTCACAGGTGCACCGCAAAATATTGTAAATGCTTCACAATTAATTTAACCAAGACACAATTAGTCATACTTTTACTTAGGTTAGGGCGCCGTGGAAAAATTATAATTGAAAAAAAGGCACTGCAACCAAGAAGAGTTTAGGAAACACTACATTTAACCTAGAAAAAAAGGGTGGATGTTGGAAGGTTAAACTGACTTGCTCGGGATATCCCATTTTCAGCTCAAAATATTAGTTGGAGACCCCGTTTTTAGTTATTTTGGTCACCCTACCTGCTTGTAATTCTCAAAAGAAGCAAAGATTCTTACCATGGCTTCCAGCGGACATCCATGTTGACTGGCAGGAGGAGTTTTTGGCACAATACTGATCCTGCCACAGGCCGAGGTTTGCCGTCCCGACATCTACAATACCCTCCAGGATGATGCTCGTGTACCAGTAGGGCAGCAGCAGACCCACCAGACACAAGGCTGTCCCCGCAATCTGTGTGGAGTGAGTGAGGGGATGAATCAATAGATGAATGAGAAAGTAAATTAGTTAGTTAGTTAGTTAGTCAGTAAGGTAGTTATTTTGTAAGTTATTTAGTTAAACAATTAGGCACTTCATTTATTAGTTAACCATTTAGTTAGCTGGCCAGTTAGTTTCTTCTCTAGTTAGTTAGTTAGTTAGTTAGTTAGTTAGTTAGTTAGTTAGTTAGTTAGTTAGTTAGTTAGTTAGTTAGTTAGTTAGTTAGTTAGTTAGTTAGTTATTTAGTCAGTGCGGTAGTTAATTTGTGAGTTATTTAAACAGTTGGGTACTTTATTAGTTGGCCATTTGGTTAGCTGGCCAGTTAGTTTGTTTTCTAGTTAGTTAAAAGACTCTTTTCCCGCCTTCAGGTGTATCAGGTTTATAAGGCTATATCTATGTTCTATAGGCCAGTCAGTACCTGGTACATGATCAATATCACACCCTTTGTCTTTAGTTCCCAGGCACCCATCTACGCCTAGGTTAACATCACACCCTTTGTCTTTAGTTCCCAGGTACCCATCTACGCCTGGGTTAACATCACACCCTTTGTCTTTAGTTCCCAGGTACCCATCTACGCCTGGGTTGACATCACACAATTTGTCTTTAGTTCCCAGGTACCCATCTACACCTGGGTTAACATCACACCCTTTGTCTTTAGTTCCCAAGTGCCCATGTACGCCTGGGTCAACATCACACCCTTTGTCTTTAGTTCCCAGGTACCCATCTATGCCTGGGTTAACATCACACCCTTTGTCTTTAGCAACCCATCTACGCCTGGGTTAACATCACACCCTTTGTCTTTAGCTCCCAGGTGCCCATCTACACCTGGTTCAACATCACACCCTTTGTCTTTAGTTCCCAGGCACCCATCTACGCCTAGGTTAACATCACACCATTTGTCTTTAGTTCCCAGGTACCCATCTACACCTGGGTCAACATCACACCCTTTGTCTTTAGTTCCCAGGTGCCCATCTACGCAATTTGTCTTTAGTTCCCAGATGCCCATCTACACCTGGGTCAACATTACACCCTTTGTCTTTAGTTCCCAGGTGCCCATCTACACCTGGGTCAACATCACACCCTTTGTCTTTAGTTCCCAGGTGCCCATCTACGCCTGGGTTAACATCACACCCTTTGTCTTTAGTTCCCAGGCTCCCATCTACATCTAGGTTAACATCACACAATTTTTCTTTAGTTCCCAGGTACCTGTCTATCCCTGGGTTAACATCACGCCATTAGTCTTTAGTTTCAAGGTACCCATCTACACCTGGGTCAACATTACACCCTTTATCTTTATTTCCCAGGTGCCCATCTACACCTGGGTCAACATCACACCCTTTGTCTTTAGTTCCCAGGTGCCCATCTACGCCTGGGTTAACATCACACCCTTTGTCTTTAGTTTCCAGGCTCCCATCTACATCTAGGTTAACATCACACAATTTGTCTTTAGTTCCCAGGTACCTGTCTATCCCTGGGTTAACATCACGCCATTAGTCTTTAGTTCCCAGGTGCCCATCTACGCCTGGGTTAATATCACACAATTTGTCTTTAGTTCCCAGGTACCCATCTACACCTGGGTTAATATCACACAATTTGTCTTTATTTCCCAGGTGCCCATCTACGCCTGGGTTAACATCACACCCTTTGTCTTTAGTTCCCAGGCTCCCATCTACATCTAGGTTAACATCACACAATTTGTCTTTAGTTCCCAGGTGCCCATCTACGCCTGGGTTAACATCACACCCTTTGTCTTTAGCAACCCATCTACGCCTGGTTCAACATCACACCCTTTGTCTTTAGTTCCCAGGTGCCCATCTACGCCTGGGTTAACATCACACAATATGTCTTTAGTTCCCAAGTACCCATCTACGCCTGGGTTAACATCACACCCTTTGTCTTTAGTTGCCAGGTACCCATCTACGCATGGGTTAACATCACACCCTTTGTCTTTAGTTCCCAGGTACCCATCTACGCCTGGGTTAACATCACACAATTTGTCTTTAGTTCCCAGGTACCCATCTACGCCTGGGTTAACATCACACCCTTTGTCTTTAGTTCCCCGGTACCCATCTATGCCTGGGTTAGCATCACACCCTTTGTCTTTAGTTCCCAGGTACCCATCTACGCCTGGGTTAACATCACACAATTTGTCTTTAGTTCCCAGGTACCCATCTACGCCTGGGTTAACATCACACCCTTTGTCTTTAGTTCCCAGGTACCCATCTATGCCTGGGTTAACATCACACCCTTTGTCTTTAGTTCCCAAGTACCCATCTACGCCTGGGTCAACATCACACCCTTTGTCTTTAGTTGCCAGGTACCCATCTACGCCTAGGTTAACATCACACAATGTGTCTTTAGTTCCCAGGCATCCATCTACACCTGGGTTAACCTGGTAGTCAAAGCTGGTTCTGAAAAAATGTCCAGCTCTGTTCAGATTTGAAGCCAAGATATTTGAATCCGCAAACGAGTATCTAGCTGCTACATCATGGTAGCTCCCAGTTAGTTAGTCAGTCAGTCAGTCAGTCAGTCAGTCAGTTAGTCAGTGAGTCAGTTAAATATACATAGTTAGATGGATCTCCTTTGCTACTGTGTGTGTAGCTCACCCATTTTCTCTCAATATTTTATTTATTTATTTACTTTTGACTCTGCTCGCAGGCGCCTTGGGCGAGTTCTCCAGGGGCAACACTTGTAGATAAAGGGACAAAGATGATACTATAGAAATGAGGCTTCGTTATGTCCGACTAGTTGAGTTGAGTTGAGTGAAGAATTAACATCACAGCACTCTGGGCATTCCTATGCATGCTCCGTCCTCATCTTCAGCAGCCAGCGCTGTGTTCAAATACTAATGGTACTGGTCACAATCTGATAATATGTCAGTCTTGCCTTTCCTCTGAGTGTAGTGAGCTGGCCAGACCTTCTGGTTACACCCAGGTGCCTCATTCTCTCCAGGCCATAATAATTTTCTTTACTGATTCCGATCCTTGTTCCCGAAGAGCCTTAATCACATCTGCCTTGTCATGTATTAATTCACCATCTAGTGGTGCAGATTCAGCCAATCTGTCTGCCTGTTCATTACCCACCATGCCGGCATGGCCTGGAGAAAAGATCCTAAGTATGTTCACTACTCATGAAGTGAAGCTGGCCACTCTGCTAGAAGCACTCCTGTCCTAATTTTTCTCAGCATGCTTTCAGAGTCTGTTGCAATTATGACATGTGTATGCATCTTATTCTCTAGCCACCGGAAAGCTGCAGTTACCGCCTCCACCTCCATTCTCAATTCCTCCATTCTGAAGTCAGATGTGTCGGCCAAAAGGCACAATTATTCCAGATATGCTGTAACAGGCACATCGCAGTTATGTCATTCAGACTAACGAAATGAAGAAGAAGAATTATTGTTAAGACCTGAACTTACCGTCAGTAAACTGGTTATAATATACACGACCATCTCTGTCTTCTGTTTCTCAGCCCTCATTGTGCTGATTCTTAAAGTTTAAGGCTGTGGAGAAATAAAAACTTGATGATTAAACAATCTGGTTGATTGAAATCAAGCAGCATCTTTCATGATCATGATCATGATCATGATCATCATCACCATCATCATTGTCGTTGTCATCATCATCACCACCATCATCACCATCACCAACATCAACATCCTCCTGTTTTGCCATAAACTTTTTCAGTCCCATAATCCCTCGCTGATGCCTGACTGAAGCAATAATGATAACAACATGAAGCATGGGTATACTGCATCTATTTCTTCTTATTTTCTTCTTTTATCTACTCCTGGAATGCCTCGCATGAAGAGATATTTGAAATCAGATCTTCTGTTGGTACTTTTCAGTGTCTCTGATATTTCTGCAGTCTATCATATTTGTGTTTAATCTCTGGATCTGTTATCGCTGTATGTGTATAACATTGCTCTCTGTGGGGCCCTGTCTCATGCCAGTGTTGTTACATGGCCAAACCATTTGATCTGTTGTCTATCGAGTAAGTTCAGTTGGTTCAGTATCAGTTTTGTGACGACTCTCCTCCTGATATCATCGTTCCTATGTCGATCATTCCTTAATACACCTAGTGTAATGCGTAAACATTTTATTTCTGTTGTGACCATTTAACTTCGACCTTCAGAAGACATTGTCCATGTTTGACACTGATAGCATTTACAAGCTCCAATTGTACAGCAGATTTTGGTGTGGCTTGCCATGCTTGGTTGATTTAGTTTGCATGACTGAACATGAGATGTACAAATATTGCAAATATGTCGACTGGTGCGCATGAGTGATATCCGGGACACGTGGTGTGTTGTTTGGGAATGAAAGTGTTAATGTGCCAAATACGTCATGCAGTCTATTTCCCCTTTCCTTTCTATCCGATACATTTGTCATCATTGATACATTTGTCATCATCGATACATTTGTCATCATCGGTACATTTGTCATCATCGATACATTTGTCATCATCGATACATTTGTCATCATCGATACATATGTCATCATCGATACATTTGTCATCATCGATACATTTGTCATCATCTGTACATATGTCATCATTGATACATTTTTTATCATCGATACATTTGTCATCATCGATACATTTGTCATCATCGATACATTTGTCATCATCGATAAATTTTTCATCATCGATACATTTGTCATCATCGATACATTTGTCATCATCGTGTATCGATTCTAGTCCGGCATCCCAAGGCCTCTCTCATCAACGTTCACTGTATGTTTTCTCTCTGACATCTTGTTTCCTCAGTCTAGGGGTGCCACCATAAAGGAATCACTCATCATGGGGTTGGAAAGGGGGGGGGGTGGATCATAAACTGCATAATAATTTTCTAGAGTCAGGGCTCTCTAGGGACTTGAGCCTTGTTTAAGTGCACAGTAACAACAACAAACAAAATACTAGAATGAGAAAAGCTACAATTTGACATATGGGTTGAAAGGCGAGAAATGTGCATAAGACCAAGAGGATGGTGCTATCTTGGGCAGGCACATCTCAAGGAAAAGTGGACAAAAAAACCACCAGACACTAAAATGGATTCAGACTACGGATACTGATATCTGGGAGCTTATTGTGCCTCCATCCGCAAAAACAAACAAAACCCTAACCCCCATATACTATGGGACGGTCTGGGGATTTTCCCACCCAATCGCGAAGCTGATGTGATGTGGTGAAATAACCAAAAAGAACCCTAACACAAGCTAGGTAATATCCAAAGATCTGAAACTACATATAACTTCCTCTGCAACACATCACATCACAGATAGTGGGACACAAGAAGGAGAATTGACAGTTGTATCACTGACACAAAATAACATATAACTGGAGGTTTCAGCACCTTTTTTAGTGGGTGGGACCCCAAGAGGCCTTGTTTAAGTGTTCAACAATAAAACCTCATTAATACAAACTCACAGAAGAAGAATGTTTGGTTAACGTGAACAAGGAGCTTTTATTTTATAGCAGTTTTTTTTAATTGTTTTTTGCTGAATTGCACATTATTTCTTCAGGGCTATTGGGCATATAGGGCACGACCTATATTTTATAGATCAGGGGCCTCTAACTTGAGGGGTGGGGGGGGGGGGGCAACCCTAAGGAGGTGCAACCCCTAAGGAGGTGCAACGAGGTTGCAGGCAGAGTCAAACAGTTAGTGACATAACAGAAGAGAACCTGTGTTTCTGCAGTGTCTCTTTTACTCCCTCCATCCATATATTTCTTGGTCGACCTCTTGACTTGTAGCCTACTGTCACTTCTCCTGCACTAAAGTGAAGTCCAAAGCATAAATCCCCAACCACTTTTATTTTTTTAAATTGCTATTTTAAAGTACTTGTCAAGGCTGAACAACTTCTGATACATGTTTTGTTCCCGTATACAAATATTTATACTTTTGCCACATCCAACGCCACACTGGTTTAGACAGGACAGTGTTGGAAGGCTTGCATCCTGAGGGGAAGGGGGGGGGATAAAGGGATACAAGTCAAAAGGATAAACTTTCCTGAACTGGGTTTTATGGCTCGGTCTCCTTCGATGCAAAACACAAACTCTGCAGCTCCAGCGACGTTCTACAGTGATCAGAGTAAAAATTGAACTTATGGACTGACGGACGCAGTCCTTGAAACAATCCTTGACTTTCAGGGTATGAGGCAAACAGCTGCTTCCCCACTTCTCCCAAGAGACACTGATACTGGAATATGGAAGAAGAGGTAGAGATAGACCACGACGGAAGTGTTAGGGCAGGGAAGCCTTCGTGACACATCGCTGATAGAGATGTCCTTATCCTCATCCTTCTTCTTCTTCTTCTTCTTCTTTGCGTTTCCCCAGCTGCAAAATTCAGATTCTTCGTCTACTTCTGGACATTTGTCCTGTCTAGAACTTCAGTTTTGCGTGCACATCCGGTCTTGAATGTCAACACCATCCCCCAACACCATCCCCCAACACCATCCCCCAACACCATTCTACACGCAAATTATGAAGTGGCTGAGACGACACAGCCCCCCCCCCCCCAATGTTTCCAGTTGTGTTGGCGCCCTTGTGTTAATGTACGCGACTATCTAGTAAAACCACAAACGCGGAGGTCGGTCTGTGAAGTCCCGCAAAGAACATGAAAGTAACTCTATTCTAGCGGAGAAGGGAGTGTTTCTGGGGTAGCATGACAACTGTACACCGGGTGCAGGAAATAAAGGAGAAGGATTAGGTCCGTGTGGAAAATTGTGTGCGGGTGGGGATTGGTTGTTTGTGGGAAGGGAAGCGCTCAAACAAGGAAACATTGTGTTGCATAAAATATGAAAGCGTTAATCGGAGATTGTAACGTGAAAGAAACGGCAACTGCAGTATGATTCAATCAAAATTTTAAACTGGCGTTTAGATTGTGTGTCTCTCTCTCTCTCTCTCTCTCTCTCTCTCTCTCTCTCTCTCTCTCTCGCTCTCTCTCTCTCTATTTGTCTGTATGTCTGTCTGCCTGTCTAATCGTATCTATCTATCTATCTATCTATCTATCTATCTATCTATCTATCTATCTATCTATCTATCTATCTATCTATCTATCTATCTATCTATCTATCTATCTATCTATCTATCTATCTATCTATCTATCTATCTATCTATCTATCTATCTATCTATCTATCTATCTATCTATCTATCTATCTAATCTATCTAATCTATCTAATCTATCTAATCTAATCTAATCTAATCTATCCATTCATTCATCCATTCATCCATTCATCCATTCATCCATTCATCCATCCATCCATTCATCCATTCATCCATTCATCCATTCATCCATCCATCCATCCATCTCTCAGCTCTCAGTCACTCTACCCACCCACTTACCTATGTACCTTTTTAACTGTCTGTCTGTCTCTATCTTAATACACTATATATCTTTCTTCTTCTTCTTCTTCTTCTTCTTCTTATTATTATTATTATTATTCTCCTCCTCCTTCTTGTTCTTCTGCCTCGTCATTCTCTATAGCAGTATGTTAGACGGGCGTGCGGGCCCAATATATTTTATCACTTTTATATTAATTTGCCATTCTGCAAACAATGATGATAATAATAGTAATAATAGGAATAAGAAATGTGATGTATTATTACAGCGCAACTGAATAAGGCTCAGGCCCAAATAATTTCAAATATAATAGTATATTTATTTGTCATACAGCGCATAATAATAATAATAATAATAATAATAATAATAATAATAATAATAACAATAATCACAATAATAATAATAATAATAATAATAATAATAACAATAATAACAATAATGATAATAATAATAACAATAATAATAATAATAATAATAATAACAATAATAATAATAATAATAACAATAATAACAATTAGTATGATTATTTAACAATTAAAAAAGGCCTAAGGTTGATGTCCCTTGAGCTTGTCCTCCCCCCCCCCCCCCAAAAAAAATATCTTCTTCGTAGTGGCGCCCTTGCCTCTTACGACATGTGTAACTGCTACTATTCTTTGCTACCCAGAGAACCTCGATAAGATACGATAGATGCTTTTTCCCCTCTATTGCTTATCGTAATTGTAGGGCCGAACTTCAACAGAACACAGACACACCAGTCTATATGTTTTTGCAGGCGGCTGGCATCAAGGAAAAAAAAAAACATTGCGATACAAAATAAATACGATCCAAAGACATTTCGTCAAAGAAAAGCTTCTCCCAGAATATTTAAACAAACACATATATATTTTTTTTCAACGCGAATTCACACGAGCATAGGTTTTTCTCAGTGAAAGGCTTGTTCTCGTTTACTTTGTGAAGATCTTAGATTGTGTCCCAAATTGTTTGATGTCAACATATAAGTTGCTGATTCTGGATAACTTAGACAAATGATGTGTGTAAAGAAATGTACAAACAAATTTTGAAGAGAGAGAGAGAGCTTTTTAGTTTAATAATTTCTTTGTATTAAGTTATGCCCCCCCCCCCCCCCCCCCCACACACA